GCGGGTCCGGCGGGTCCAGTGGGTCCAGTGGGTCCAGTGGTCCCGGGTCTTCCAGGCTCAGTGCCGACCCCCGGCCTCGGCAGAGCCTGTGAAAGCTGCTACAGTGAGTGATTCCCACGTGTAACACTGCAATTAAAATTCATTACCATTGGCCTAATTTATTTAGATTTTAGTAAGTCTTGGTAAATTGTACGTGCTGAACTTAAGATAATTGCTTTGGCATTCACAGGTGCAATCATACTTGAAAAAGGTTGTTGCATATTCAAAATACTTCAGCTTTGAATGAAAAAAATTACACAATCTAAGAGTTTTTGAAATACATTTCACAAAACGGCTAATATAAGATAACAGAAATGCAGGTTAATGTCAGTGATAGGCTACTGACAATATCAGAGAAAGTAAGTGACAAGAGGTCGTCCTCTTAAATTTACTAATGCACTAAAGCACCAAGCCGACGTTTCGTCTCCACTTTTGTCGAAGAGGAAATTGTCGATTTAGTGTTCACAAAGAGCCAAAACAAAGAGGAAAAAGATCATCTTCAAGCAGATGTAGTCAGTTGTTAATGTGACGATCTGGTGTTGTTAAACGCTTGTTTACATCTTTATCCGTAAACACAACAGTAAAACATCTTTAATATGATGTGTATCTATGATTTCTGTGTTTACTGATTGTTCTTTTCATTGTAAGATCAACAACATCCAGCAGAAATATTCCCACAACCAAATACTGAACTTGTGTTCTTCAGTGAATCTTAAAAAGGGAACCTCCCTTGTCTGAGCTTTCATTAACACATCGTTGCAATAACTCAACCTAAAGCATTCATTTACATTTTCATTTTAAAACTGATCACTTAGAGCACAGATCGACGCTGTACTCTCAGCATGAGGCACACTTTTTTTTTCATTTATTAAATCGGAGAGGAGAGAAAATATCATTACATGCCCCGCAGCAGAGAATTGTTTGACTTATTTTAGTGGTTGTAGTTAATTCAATGATGAATGATTAAAGGTTGTGCTCTTGTTTGCATGCACACAAGCACGTGTTTATGATTATGTGGATTATGAACCATCTTGAGCACGTTTTTTTAATATATGTGTGTGTGTGTCCACTGCGCTCACTTTGCTTTGTGTGATTGTGTGTAGCCAGCAGCTCCTACCAGTGGTACTCGTGGGGACCTCCCAACATGCAGTGCCGCCTGTGTGCTTCATGTTGGACTTACTGGAAGAAGTACGGAGGGCTGAAGATGCCCACAAGACTGGATGGAGAGAGGCCTGGACCCAACCGCAACAACATGGTACAACCTAACACACACAAAAACACACACACACACGCTTCACTGGAAATTTCATTTACTTATTCTGCAAACCCCAAAACAACAACCTACCGTTTGCCTAAAGCCTTACTCTACCCTTAAAGGAATAGTTAATTCTCCAGAGAAAATCTTTTCTTCTCATCCTCATGTAAGTCGAACCACCAGTTGAAGTTCGTACACTCATTGGGGCGCGCTTGTTTCATGGTCGATTAATATGCACATAATTTTCTCAATTAATCCATTCATCTTTTTGGCTTTAATATGTAAAAACAAAGTGTGTTATGATTTCAAAACAAAGAGAAGAATCAAGTCCTTCCACTTGAGAAGGTTGAACTAGCAAATGGTTGCTATTTTTTGTGTTTATAGTAGTTTGAAAAGGTAGTAGATTAAATTAATTTTCTGTTAATTGACAAATCAATTCATACATTTTTTTTTTTTTTTTCAGCACTGTTTATATCACAAACCGCTAACGTATTACCATCAATTGAAACACCTTAAACAGGATAATCACCGACAAACACTGTTGGAGGATAACCTTGGATCCACACCAAGTCTTCACTGTAACTTAATACTTTACCTTAAGTTTGTTTCTGCATTTAAAACTTTAACTGTATGCAAACGCATTTGTGTGTAGCAACCCAAATGTTTTCTTTGCCATCAGTCAGGTGATAATTTGACTTGTACCGAGTTCATCAGTGTTCATTAGAAGTGTAAACTGTTACTACACAAACACACACTGCTGTACATTTATGGTATCTAACGGTTATTAATCTATTTGTCCCTCCAGAGCCCCCACGGCCTGCCCCTGCGGCACAGCGGCAGCCCCAAGTTCGCTGTAAAGACGCGGCAGGCATTCTACCTGCAGACTACCGGACTGACGCGGATGGCACGCCGCCTCTGCCAGGACATCATCAGGCCGCGGTATCTGGCCAGGCACCCCTACCTCCCCGTCAACACAGCAGCCATCAAGGCAGAATGTAAGGACCCGATAACCGTTACACGATGCTCATATTGTCAAAGGGAAACGATGGCGGTACACAATGACGACACAATCCATTTCAACTCACTAAAACATCGTTATTATAAGTCCTTATTCAGACGGAGTGTGTAAGTTTACGGTATTTTTGCAATGGATTTCTACAGGTGCCCTGCGGTTGCCAGATGGCCCCAAAAAGCCTTTGTCACTGAAACCTGTGGAACGTAAACCTCTGGAGTCCGTGGTTCGGTATTTAGGTAAGAAGAAGCCGATCAGCCATCACATCTCTTACGTTTGAGTTTCTGTTTTCAGTCACTCCAGTGACATCGCTCTATGGGGATGGTCCACTGAAATTGTGTACAGACATTAACAGTCCCCAGAAGATGAACCTTGAAAGACTTTGTTGATCCCCTGACGTTTTATCTAGCGCCACCGTGAGTTGAAATGTCTCAACAACCCCCCTCAGGACGAATTATATTTTTCAAGACCTCTTAACGTTTACATCCAGTTCTTAAAAACACCGTAAAAACATTCCCATCACCCTAAACAAGCCTTTACTTTGTTACGTGCTAATATGCTATAACATTAGCATGTGGCTGCTATCTAGTCTTGTTTACCTTTGATTGCTATAATAACATTGCTTTTGAGATATGTAAATAAGTATAAAAGTGCAAATATCTTGAGTTATTTTAAATCATTGGTATTCATTTTGAGTTATCTATGCATACATTTAGCATATATTTGTTGTTTGTTACTTCTTCCCTCACTTTCTCTCCTCTCTCACCTACAGAAGCACATCCCCGTCCAGCCAAACCCGACCCTCCGATTCGTGGAGGTTCCATCTCTACAAGCAGCCTGACGCCCATAAAGTCCTCCCCCATCCTCAACAATGGCTCACCCACCATCCTGGGCAAACGCACCTATGAACAGCACAACGGACTGGATGGTGAGAGGAGCTTTG